AGCCTCTTTACCAAGATACTTTTTCTTACCTGGGAGACAAGCTGCAAGGGCATAATCAGCAGCCAGGAAAAAGCAAAAACAAAACAAACTGTGTGCTCCTCACTACCATGTTCTTTTGGTGTTAACATCAGGCTCCTGCATGCTTTCTACATGACCGTGGTCAGTGTGGCTTTAAACATAAGGGTGTGGCATTCTCATGTCTAGATGCTCCCCTCCCCAGGTGCAAACTAATGAAATCAAGGGCAGTCAGATGGACCGTGTGCTTTATGGGTGGGCTGCAGGAATAAACTGTAAGGGAGTGGAATCCCATGAAAAGCTAAGCTGGTGCATGTTGTCATTCCACCATCTGGGTAATGTTTTCAGTGGGTTTCAGTATCCACTACTCCTACTAACTTTGGGTTAAAAACATTTCTGCAAAATTTCCTGCCATGTGGTTCTTCATGTGCTAAACCGTGCTGTGCCACATGCTCTGTTGTGGATGTGGAGTGAAGGAGTTGGCTGGAAAGAGTGCTTTGAGCAGCAGGCCAGTGAGTTAGCATTCTTCAGAATGGGTAAAAAAACAACCCCCAAGATAACTATTTCAAGTAAAAGAAACATGAAAGTAATTTTTCCAAAAAAAAATAGTGCTAACTGCAACTCACTAATTGCTGGGCTTTGGAACTGTAACTGTAACTAACTGCTTTTCAAAAGTAAGCTCTAGGCAAAGTTTGGCAGGTGTCTAACCCTTGGAAGAGAAGCTACTGTGAGCGTCATATAAATGCAGAATATAAGTACAGTAAAAACCGTGCATTTTTCTAAAAAAAATAATGCTAACTGCAACTCACTAATTGTTGGGCTTTGGAACTGGAACTGGAACTAACTGCTTTTCAAAAGTAAGCTCTAGGCAAAGTTTGGCAGGTGTCTAACCCTTGGAAGAGAAACTACTGTGAGCGTCATATAAATGCAGAGTATAAGTATAGTAAAAACCGTGCACCATCAAGTTAATTCTGACATGGCAATCCTTTTCAGGGGTTTCCAGAAAGAGAGTCCTTGGAGATGGTTTACTCTTTCTTTCTTCTGTGGGCACCCTGGGACTGTGCAGGTTGCTCAAGGCCACACAGGCTGGCTCTACTCACAGGAAGCACAGTGGGGAATTGAACTCCCAATCTCTGGCTCCACAACCAGATACCCAAACCACTGAGCTATCCATCCAGGACAATGTAAGTATAGCAAGTAAATAAATAAATAAATAAATGTTCTGTTGAGTCTAATTATTATTCAACAATTATAGACTGACAGCATTGATAGAACATGGTGAATCATCATTTTGGGCTGGAAAGTTTGCACAAAAACAGTTTTTATCAATAGATAAAATCTGAGAAACAAGAACTCCTTAATGCAGATTGGGCAGATTTTGCACCTATTCTGCGTGTTTTCTGTGATACTTCCACTAATCATTTCAATACAGTTATTTTCCAGCCATTGTGAGCCAGGTAAGAAAACTATGGATCTTATATTCACCCATGATTACAGTGCAGTCATGTCTTCTCAAATGCATGTGTGTTAACAGATAAATGAGGCTTATGTATATACACATATAATGTGTATAATGGTGGAGCAAAATGGTGGAGAGATAAAACTAGCAGAAATTTTGTGGAGAACACTTAGCTCAAGACCAGTTGACCTACTGACTAGTAGGAAAAAATTATTTCCAGATGGTGGGAATTAAAATCATTGTGAGTACATTGCTCTTGTTCCCTGGATGGCCTATGTCAATACTATACATATTTGGTTGAAATGACAGCATTCAGATTCTATCTGCACATTTCTTCAATTTTGAAACAGCTTCCTCCAACTTCAGTTGACAGATTTAGTGCAGGTTGTAAGCTCAACAGTCGTAAGATAGCAAACCAAATCCCAGAAGTGACCCATTTTGTTGTTTATGTGTGTAGAAATGTATGCCTTTTGCAGACTAGGTTATGGTATCCATTCTGGAGCATGATGGCCTTGCTTATTTTAGAAGAAATGTGCCTGCTCTTCTGAAAATGGTTACCAAGAAAGTAACATCGAAGCACATTTTGCCATTCATTGATCACACTGAGGGCACCAGCTTAAAGCCATACAACAAGCAAGAGAGGGAGAGTAGTTTCAGTACTTTCCAGATGCTAACATTCCCCTCTCACTCTAGAACCTGGTGGGCCCAAGTCCAGAGTGGTATATATACTGTGGGAATCCCCCAGCTTCGTTATAGGGGCTGGTCCTAGCTTTTTATTTCCTGCACTCAAAAAAGAATTGGACTTGATAGTCTATGGACTCCCCATCCCCCAATCCATCACCATGTCTGCAGACTAATGCCTGGTTTAGATGGTACTATGCTTTCCCCCGTGAAAGAGTTCGCTGTGGAACTGATACTGTTGAAGTCCTCCTTATCCTACAAATAAAAGCTATGCAAACCAGAGCCACAGGTGCTGCCAAGCAGTAATTCCACATCGAGCACCCTTGTGGGGCTAGAGAGGGACATGATGGCTTATATCACTGAATCCTCTCCAACATATTTTTTTAAAACAGGGATAATAGCCAGTGCTTTTTGTCTCAACTGGCCTTGAGAGCTCGCCCGCCAAGTGCAACAGTCACTCCATTGAGAGAGCTGCCTGAAACAAAGATGCAACCCCACCCTTTCCAACTACAGAAGCTGACCAGTCTGATCGCTGACTTTTACATCAGCACTTGCAAAGGAACAGAAATCTTCCAATCAATCTGGATGCTACTTCTGGGCTGTTGTTGTTATATGCTGCAAAGTTGGAACTGATTTACAGCAACCCTAATAGGGCTTTCAAGGTAAAAGAATCATTTAATGAGTGGCTGCCTGTTCCACACCACCAGTGAGTTTCCATGGCTGAGCAAGGATTTCAACCCTGGCCTCCTGAGTCCTAGTTCACCAGTCGATCCATTACACCACAATGGGTGATCTATATGTAGGCTAGCCCATAAATAAAAGAGAGGACTTCTTAAGCACTGAAAACATCTAGTTGTAACAGCATGAATTTTGTACACCTCTTCCAGCTTGCTGATGAGCCTGCTCTGTTTTATGATTGGTCACCAGGAGGTAAGCACAGGCTTCATTTTCAAATAAGATTGGTCAGTTGTTGAGGTTGGCCTAAAGCACATCTCAGACATATACTAGCTTCTAACCAGAGGTTATTGGTTAATATATAATTTGGTCCTGAGGACAGCAGCCTAACTTGGAGGGTTCAGGATAGGTTGCTTGAAACATGCAGTAATATCCTCCAGTACCACTCAGTGCCTGCCATCTGAGGTTGGTCCCCCACTCTGCCTAATTGTAAGCGCATCAGATATTTTCCTAGAGAATAATGAAGAGTTGTTCCACCAGAAGAATGTTGCCAAGACTGCTTCCATAGTACCTACTATGGGCAGACTTCCAAAACTTATAGTTTCCCTCTTTAAATAAATGGAAATCCAATTTCTTATTTCATTACTTTTTATATCCAGACTACTATTTACCAAAAGCTGGTAAGAAGAATCCACTGCAACCCGAGGTAGCTCGATCCTGGGGGGTGGTGGAGGCGGGGTATTGTAACTTTTAGTAGCACTTGTGAAAGTACCAGTACAAAAGAGGTTGTAGCCATACATTCAGTCAGGGCAGTCGTTCTCAGTCTTGGGTACCCAGATGTTCTCAGACTACAACTCCCAAAAATCCTGGCCAGCACAGCTGATGTTGAAGGCTTCTGGGAGTTTTAGTTCAAGAACATTTGGGAACACAAGACTGGGAACCACTGAGTTAGGGTGTACACGGCGAGGAGATATGTTTTATACCAGCGTATTAATGATGGCTTCTCCCAAAGAATCTAGGGACCTATATAGCATGGTCTCTTGTTAGTCATGTCTGGCTCAGCTGATGAAACCACAGCCCTCGAATTCCTTCTGGAGCCGGGAGCAACAGTTGAATCAGCTTAACAGTGCCATACTATCATGTTTACTCAGCAGTAAGTCCCACTATTTTCAGTGTAGTTTACACCCAGGAAGATATGCATAGGATTAGAGCAGGGAGAGGTAACTTGTGCTGCTTTGAATGTTGCAGACTGCAAACCACCAGCAGCTCATGAGTGATCATGGGAGTTGCAGTCCAGCCTTTAGAGTTGTGCACCTCTGGATGAGAACTGAAGCCCACGGTGTGGATTTGGACTCCATTTCAACCGTGAAGTTCTGAGTTAAATGTGATCAAATGAGAGAGACTGCAGAACTTAGAAAACTGCCTTTTTGGACCACAATTCCCAGAATCCCCAGGATAGCAGTTGTCCAAAAAAGTAAGTATCCCAAACTTTCTGCTGTTTGGCAATGCAACATCGTTGTCTGCAAACCGAAGAGCACAGAAACACAAATATTTTTTTTAAAAACACAAAAAACCTGGATAGGTCTGTGACAAATCATGACCACAGAGGGAGATAAATGAATTTGTTCTGGAGAATGAGGTGGAAAGGCCAAGTAGTAAATTCAATAGGGGACAATTCCATTACTAAAAAACTGCAAATAAAATAGTGTCTATGGATGAGAAAATTCAAGATGCTTCCATCATTTCATTGATGAATGCCATAAATCATCCACCAATGACTTGTGCTTTGCACATTTTGTACAAATGTTTGTGGCTCGAATGAAAGTTCCCCTCCCCATGGCACTCCCTCCAAAATCTTCTAAAAGAATTATGTTTGAGGAGGGAAGTAAATCAGGATTTTTAAAATGCATTTTGTGGTAAAAATTTGAGCTGGGTCTTTACTTGTATAAAAGAACAGTAGCAATAAACCGATCACCATTTTAGCTTGAACCTGTGCCCACACAAAATAGCACAGGGCCACAGAACAATTTATGCATTCAAATACTTCAACTCCTCGTTAACACAGTTTTGAGAAATACTTTTCTTTCTTTCTTTCTTTCTTTCTTTCTTTCTTTCTTTCTTTCTTTCTTTCTTTCTTTCTTTCTTTCTTTCTTTCTTTCTTTCTTTCTTTCTTTCTTTCTTTCTTTCTTTCTTTCTTTTTCTATTTCTGTGTGTGCGTGTGTGGTAAGATTGTTTAAAATTGCAATGAGACCAACTACACTTCTCTAGATCCCCCTCAAGCCTTTTCCTCAGTTCAGCTTTTGTAGTCTGTATTGCACATGGCATGTTGTACTTCCCGTTGACTGCAACACAATTGACCTCTTTTTCAGACGCTGTGTGCAGCTCTACCTTGGCTGGCCATCCCTGGCTGGCCAGTAGCCTCTTGTGCTCCTTATGCAGCTGCAGACAACCTGGGGTGTGTGTGACAGGGGTGGGGTAGAGCAGAGAGGAGAAGGCACACCAACCTCCTCCATTTCTGAGTTCCTCTCTCACTCCCATGTTGCAAGAATAAGGCCTTCTGAATTCCTTAGCTCAGACCGTTGTGACTCTCATGACGAGCTCTCTGCTTGTGCTTGAGTGGCTTCTCTGTTCGTGAGGCCTCAGATGGCTGAGTATATGCAAGATGGTATAAGCACAGTGGTGGTCAGACAAGGTGCCTGTGGTGTGGCTAGCTTCCCGAGTCATACTATTGGCTGGAGTAGAGTTACTAGCTGCACCACTAGCAGAGGATGAATGGTTGGTCTGAGAGGAGGTTCGTTGGTTGGTCCTGGTCCCTGTTTTTTGATCCTCCAGGTCCTTGGTTTTGTCATAGTTCAGCACTTTCCACTGTTGATTGACTGCTTGCCACCGTTTAAAAATCCGGTACACTGAGGGCCCCTCATGAATTATTAGACCTGTAAGATAAAAGGGGGTGCATTGGTAGAGAGAAACAGAGAATGTGTGAATGGGGGGGAGAGAATCTGTGAAACTATCATTGACCCAACTCTCCTCCATGTATATTTTTGGGAATCTCTCTGGCTTTGCTGCAAGCCCCACAATTCTCTTCATGTGCTACCTTTGGGCACCAATACACCCCACATTTTAATACATTATTATGACATGCTGAAGGGCCTATCCCATGGACACACAGGAGGAGCTCTAGAACATATTACAGTGGACCCTTGACTTACAGACGGCTTGACTTACAGACTTTTTGAGTTACAGACTTCTCTGGCCGCAAAATTTAGTTTTGACTTGCAGACTGAGATTTGACTTACAGACCAGAAAAAAACCAAAATGGAACAAAAACAGCCTGTTACAGGATTAATCGATTTTCAATGCACTGTAGGTCAATGGAGACTTGACTTACAGACTTTTTGACTTGAGAACCGCCTTCCAATACGGATTAAGTTCTCAAGTCAAGACCCCACTGTAATCATGTTTCAGGAACAGATTGAGATCCCTTTAGACCAACATATATACCTTTTTATGAAATAGCACCCAGCAAGATATCCCTAAGAGCAAGAAGCAGGAAATGTACAGACCAGCATCTGGTATTAAGAAATGTAATTACTATCTCTATACTAGAGCTGTAATGAGCAATTTTGGGAACAAGGCAAGCAGCGTAAAATGCGACCCCAAGTCAACTCTGTAATTCATGATGTGAAAACAATAAAGGAGGTAATTATAGCACTGAACACGTTAACATCTCCCCTCCTCCATAAAGCATCAGAAACTTTGTTAGAACTAACAAATGCACACACACACAACACCCCCCACACACACACACTGTTTAGCACACCATATATTTATTGCTGACCTTTTCTCCTGTCTCGGCTAGAAACTTGGTCTGTTGAGTCCTGAGTAAACCAATTCCCTACAAGGACAGATCTGTCTATGATCTCGGCAGACTCTGAGACTATTAGCCTACTGAGCCACAGCTTGACTAAGGGTGTAACTAAATGGCTAAATTATTCTGGCCTGGATCATTCCAAAGCCTGCTAAACAGGGTTGCTTTGAAGAATTGGATGGTTTGGGGTCAGGACATTACACTGCACCTCCAAAAAGCCAATTAGCCCTTTCTGTCTTCAAAGGGAAAGGAGGGGAAAAAAGAGAGAGAAAATAATAATACCTGTAATAAAAAGAGATTCCATTCTCTGTGGGTGAGCAAGAGGAAGCTTTCATTAAAAAAAATTCTAAGCGGCCTAGTATATCAGTGCTGCCTTACAAGATCCTTTAAAAAACACTTTTACATCTTCTTTCTCCTCCTCCACACTAGAAAGAGAGGAAGCATCCAATTTCTCAAGATTGTAAAGCAGCTTAAGCTGTCGACTTTGGTTCAGTCCCAGACCACACATGCTGGAACCCAACCAAAATGAAACGATCCAAAAAACATAGCAGATAAACATAGATCAGGGATGAGCTGGTTCACAATGGATGGTCAGCAGAAAAAAGAGCAAACCAGCTTGTCCCCAAACTGGACCAAAACACAGGCCAAATCCTCATCTAGTCATACCTTGACTCTCAAAATGAGAAGGTGTAGGTGGAGGTGAAGGACATATTTTTATTTTTTTTATTTTTTTTTAAATTGTATTTATACCCCGCCTATCTAGTCATTTCGACCACTCTAGGCGGCTGTCCATCTAGATAACAACACCTCTGCACCTGAGCCAGAGGCCTGATGTAGTCGTGTCTCTTGTCTTTTCCTATGGTCACAGGCCAAGCCACGAGGCATACACTAACTTGGGTGCTCATCTACAGTCCACAACAAAACCCTGTTGCCTTGCCCAAAAATCATAATACATATTAGGTCTTATTTTCAGGGAAACAGGGTAGTATGATTGTTCAGGATGCTCATAATATAGGCCCTACCCCCAAAATAAGCCCCAGTTAAGTGAAACCCTGCCCTCCACCATTGTGCAGCAATCAGAAGAAGACAATGTGACTGTGTTTGAATAAATGTACAGTAGATTGTTGTACATGAAAAAAATAAATAAAACTAATGCTTTTTTGAAGCAAAAATTAATGTAAGACCCAGTCTTATTTTCGGGGAAGCACAGTAATATTATTATGTGTACATTATTAGCTTTTGGAGGGTGGGTTGATCAGGGCACAATGAAATCAGCTTTGAAAGATATGGAAACAAGCAATGGGTGTATGTGTGTAACAAGAACCTTTTATAGTGACTTTTAAAGATACCATGTAAGGGCATTTTTACGGCTCTTTCTTATCAATTTGCACAAAGGAAGAGAAAGTAACAGAAAAGCCAAAGTATTGTGTCAAGTACGATGATGAATTACATATATTTTTTGGTAAAGTTAATGGTAATGGATTCTGGAACAAATTATGCAATTACTTTTCAAAAGTTACTTTCTGACTTTTGGTGGTGGCACACCCTGATAAAGAAGGTGTGTGAGAGTCACAAACCCCTCCCCCATTACAGTGCATCCCATCCATTTCAGTCGTTGTGTGTTTACTTGCATCCTTGATTTCCTCAGCAAACTACTGTACACCAGAGGCACAGCTATGAGCAATACAGAGCAACGGGGCACCTTCAGCCATGTATTATACCAGGAAAATGCTGGCCCAAACCCTATTGCCCATTTATGCTTGGTTAAGAAAAACAGTGTTAGGACTTCATGGCAAACTGCAACTCATTAATGAGGAACTGGTTACATGCACAGGATCATGCAACTGGGTGTTGATCCAGAGAGTGCAACCAGCACTTTTATTAATGTACTGTATGGCAAATTTCCACCAAGACTTACACAACTTCAAGTGCCAATTGGCAGTAGGATTCTGGCCAGAGATTTAAGTATAAAGAGCTGATGCACACTGCTGGGTTTTTAAAATTCAACTGTCTATAGCTGAGCATAAAATGTCAAGTGAAAAACACCACCCGGTGGCGCTTGTAATTAGTTAACTTTGCAGGGAGGGAAAACACGCACATTACCGAAAGCAAGAACATTCAGGCAACACTTTAAAGTGTATATCAATAAGAACTGAACAAATTGCAGTGGAAAAAAAAACCTGAAGGTCTCAAATCCAAGGCAGAGTTAATTGTGCTTAAAGCCTATTCAAATCAATGGGGTTTGACCTGCTTCATTTTAACTTCTTTAATTCTGCTTCACCTCCAGCAGATGAAACCAAAAAGCTGTCTTTGATGCAACTAATTTTATTACAACAAAAGCACCACCTGTCCTTAACGTGACCGAATCTTTCTTGGACTGACTTCTTTTTCTCCCTGAGCTAATGGGGCAACCTATTCAGAAAGGGCAGGGAAAAATAACTTCACTATGGAACAGAAAAAATAATTGAGCCTAAATTGTTTTGATTAAATGAATATCTAGAAGGCTGCCAATGGCTATTTACCACAATGGCCATACACAATCGCCAAGTAGTATGTTTCTCAAAACCAGTTGCTGGGGCTCAGTAATCGAGGAAGGCTGCTACATTCTTCAGAGGCTGGAGAAGTTACTGCTTAGACCAGGCCTGTCCAACTTGTGGCCCGTGGGCCACATGCGGCCCAGGTCGGCTTGTAATGCGGCCCAGTGCAATTTTTTATTTTAAAATAAATTCCAAAGTTTCAAGTTACACTGCCGGCGCTTGCGGCCAGAATGTGGCCGGGGCATGTCACAACAGTAGAGGGGGAGAGAGGGAAGGAAGGAAGGAGAGGGAGGGGAGGGGAGAGGGGTGATGTATGAATGCAATGCGCCGTCCTCATCAATAGGTGGACCCCCTACCATCCCCATAAAGCCAACGGAGTCAAAGCTGGCAGCCTCTGCTGTCTGAAATCGCAGCTGCTGGTAAGCACACTTGGAGTGGGGCTGTAGAGGACGGCTAGGGCTGCCCCCCCCATGTGGCCCAAACCAAATTTATGTGTAGACCAAACCAATTTATGTGCGGCCCAAACCAAATTTTCATCTTCTAATGTGGCCCAAGGAAGGTGAAAGGTTGGACCCCCCTGGTAGACTACAACACTCAGAATCTCCCAGCCAGCAAGCTGGTGGGTTCTAGGAACTGTGGTATGGAAGAAAGTAACATTTTCAAGCGCCAAAGAAGGCAGTAACCTTCCTCCAGTATTCTGCCTTTCTTTGCCTCATGTATGGACTTCCCAGATATGTTAATTAGTCAGGATGCTGGACCAGATGAACCTTTGACCTGATCTAGCTTGGCTCTTTTTTATATATAGTTCCAGAAACATTTCCATATTGACAATGTAAAATATCTCTTTTGAAAAAGCAACACCCCAGAAAAAAAAGCTCAAGTTGTTCAGATCTCCAAATGCAAGGAGGATTTTTGGATTTTGGAGAATTTCTGAAGAATGCCTAGAACATAGCAGGAGATTTCTTTTGTAATGAAATAGTTGTATACTCCCTTTCTTGGATGCACACCTTCATGTAGTGTATAGGTGTGAGAATATTAGGAAGCTGAGAACAATGCCTCCTGGAGACTAGACTTGTATGGGACTTGTAGTCTAGTAAGATCACCCAAGGTGGAATCATCAAAGCTGAGAGACTAGACTAGGAAGGAGGATTTTTGGATTTTGGAGAATTTCTGAAGAATGCCTAGAACATAGCAGGAGATTTCTTTTGTAATGAAATAGTTGTATACTCCCTTTCTTGGATGCACACCTTCATGTAGTGTATAGGTGTGAGAATATTAGGAAGCTGAGAACAATGCCTCCTGGAGAGTAGACTTGTATGGGACTTGTAGTCTTGTAAGATCACCCAAGGTGGATCGTCAAAGCTGAGACACTAGACTAGCATGCATTCTATCCTCTTCAGAACTAACCGTCACATCAGCAGAAGAAAAACAGTCCCAATGATGATGGCAATGGAGAAGTCAGTGAAGGGCAGCCCCTGGGCAGCAGCAGAAGGTAATACTGTATTAGGAGAAGAACTTTCATAGAGAA